TTGGGTTGGCAACTAAGTGATTGCGGATTTTGTCATTAGGTGGTATTGACAAAATCCGCAATCATCTAGTTGCCAACCCAATACTTTGCAACGTCTAACGCAGAAAGATGTTACAATTCGATCCTGGTACTTTACCATCTGCTCAAACAGCCTACGATCAACTGTCAAACCTGCCATCAGGTCGTTGCAACCCAAACCATCTCGTTATCATTCGAAAGTTTCGGCAACGACGTATTTGACTCGCACGCCAGGGTATAACGTTCGCGATTTCCTGCTCGCGTATCCTCCGTTGGGAACGCAACGTCGTAGCTGGCAAAGGAACGAAGAAAAGAAAAGAGGACAGGAGAAAAGATCGAGATAGCGCGGCGTGTAACTCGGTGTAACCGACGCAACGGAACGAAAGGGCAATAGAAGCATTTTAGGAGGAATTCGTATGCCGGTCTCGCGCTAGGTTCGCTTCGCCTGTCCCTGATTGAGTTAGCCGAGCTCGCGATGGGTCGCTGTATACGCGAATCGCTCGTAAAATCGGACGGTTGCTGCGAACGGCCTCGAACGAGACGAAGGCCGATGAATACGTGATATCACGAGCTTTTTCCACCTTTGTCGCGCCGTGCCATGGATTTCTCTTGGCGCCTGTTTGCCCCGTTGTAGCCTCCCCTTTCTCCTCTTCCTACCACTCTTCCAGCTTTCTTTCTTGCTTGCTTTTAGTCGCTCGTCTAAAATGGGAAAACGCCGGGAATACTGGCAACGCCACGACCACCGGCTTTCAGGAATTCATTAGCCGCTATTAAGCGTCTCTTTCATGCGATTGTTAATTTGCAACGTGCCTGTGTTACGCTACAGGAACACGGTCTCTGGCGTGTTCCCATGCCGGAAATTCAACGTCGTTTCTTCGAGCTTTTCGCTAAATTTACTTGGCTCCACCGATACTCCATGTTCTACATACACCAGGTTTTCGTATGGAAAATCTTGTTCTTCAGACACTGACTTCGGTTGGATCACTTTATTCCTGAGATGTACCAGCAGATTGCGTTGCAACGACTTTCGTTTTATAATATTCTACTTTGCTTCTGCTATCTGTATGGTAAAAAATAATTTTCATGCAAAATGCTTTTTTTATATAGCAAGTCTTTGCATATGTTTCGTCCGGTGACTCTTTGCGTAGCACGGAATCCATCCCTCGGTCAAGGCAGCCACTCGCTACGTCAATATAATTAGTTGGACCGTAACAATCATAAAGAACTGTCGTAAAACTAAGCATTTCGATTTGATCGTTAAGTGGTATAAAACACCTCCGAGTCAAGATGTTCCTTATGGTTATTGCTCCATCAGGTAAAAAGTGCAGAAAAGTGGGTTTTCTCATGTTTCCCGGTATTTTCACCCGCAAGCGACCTGTGGTGGGGCGACAAACACCCAGCAAGAGTCTTCCTCTGTGACAACATCGTCACCGAACTTCGCTGCTTCTACGACTACAGAACAGTCAAGATCTCTGCACTGGGTTCGTTACTCAGTCAACATCTATTCATTAACTATATCTACTTCTAATTACTCAACTAATTAACATATATATATATACGCAACGAGCGTAATCATCTTGTCCACAAGTTGTTGAATAAAGAGTAGATTATAAACTGTTACGTTATAATCCATCCAACTATCTCTATTATCATAAACGAAATAGGGGATCGATCATCTCCTGGCATTGTCTAATCGTAACGGGAATTTACGATTCCCGTTGACGCGCTTCCTTGAGATCGCGTTTGTCCGCGAGCGATCGATGAAACAGCATATGTACTTGGTTTGGAAATTATTACGATAGCTTGCTTCAAACTATCGCGAGTGTTAATTTGCATTAGATATCTGGATCGGTATTATAGAGATAGAGAAAACTGTTAACGGTTGACAATACAAGAGATTTCAGGCATTCGAAGGAAATGAAAAAAGTGGAAAGAAGCAAACGCGGAAATGTGATCGCATGGATAGATCGTGAGGGAATCTTGCGAGATAATATATACAGATTTATTCCGGTTTCATAAGAGTGAATGCAACGAGTTAGAGTTGAAAGAATGAAATAAAATATATTAACGTCCGTGGACTTTTTGAAATCCCTTTTGAACAGTTTTTCGAAATATTCAGCAGGTATATAATTTTACAAGGTAAATCGAGCAATATGTAATTTTGTTAAATTTCCCTAAAACCTAGTTTCATCTCAATTGTCAAAAGTAAGAATTAAATGGTTCACAAGTACGTGTTACACAGAGTTTGTTACAAAGGACTAGATTAGAGAAACAGCTTTTCATAATACACACGAAAACAAAGTGTATCAGTGATGACGATTGTGCGTAGATAAAACAGCTATTTTCTCGATGCTTGAAACAATGAAATTTCCCTCACAGTCTACTAAATTTCCGTAAAAGAATTACGTACGATTAACGTCGTTGTCCCGTTACGAGCCAGCGACCACGTTCTTCGTCGAGTACGGTTTTCCACTAATTTGCCGTCACAATATTATCGTTTGATTCATTTCACCACAGCGACGTCATTCGTTAATCCGTGACGCGGCGCAAAAACTGTCAGAAATGCTACTCTTTGGAATAATCGAATTATATCACGGCCGGTTTGCGTTCAGAAAACTGGCATCGAAACAAAGAGAGTGTCGGCTTGGTGACATTAGTGATTGATACGCACTGGTAATTATTCGTCCTTTCGTTTCAAACCATGAAACCATTTTCAGAAACAATGTCTATGCCCTTTATACACATATTTTAACGTATTTCTCTCTTCTATCGTATGTCACAGATCAGACTTGGCTTGTCGTATTGCTTTTCGTATACGAATCCTATTAATATTAATAATTTATCATGGACAGATACGAAAAGAAATATAACGTTACCGTTGGGTAGATGATACATTTACACTGTACATGTGAATGTATGTGTAAGCGTGAGAGGGCGTCCAGGTCTTAGTTGATACAAAAGACTGTCGTCAGATGTTAGAAGAATCTGGAAGAGTCGGTTGAGAACAAGCGTGCGTGCAAGAAGGTTGTCGAGGTCTTCAGAGTGTAAGATATATGTATAACTGTTGTGTGTAAAATAAAATAAACGATTTGTATTTCCGAATTCTTTCTTTACCTTAACAGCTACAACGGGTAGAACGGTAGAAAAATTGTTTCATTGCGAAGGAAGACAAATTTTTATTTTACAGGCTTATGAAAAGAATTCTTTTAATGTACGTAGAACGAAGAAGTTGACTGTTTCTGAACGCACTATTGGATTGGCAACTAAGTGATTGCGGAGTTTGTCATTAGCTGGTAATGTCAAAATCCGCAATCACTTGCTAACCCCAATACATCGCATAATATGTCTGCCAAGCAATGTTCAAAGATATACGTACACGAACGATGTAAATACAACGCTTTTCCTTCTGACTTTATTTTGAAGAATTCACCAGCCCATAAATGAGAACTGAAAATATCAACGTGTATTTTCGGACGTTTTTCAGAAAGCTTAGCTAATCTTTTCTTCGATACAAAAGCGTTCTTTCATTTCCTAACAGAATAAAATAGCACTTTCCAACTATAGAAAAGAAAAATTCCTTTATATCGAATAACAATAGATTTCAACGTTTAATACAATTTCTGCGTCAAAATTCGTAATGGAAATGAAACAGGATCCAATAATTAACTATCGTTCGCCGCTTAATCTTAAGCTCCATCATCCGTCCCAAATTATCTGACAACAGATTCCATTTCCGTAGCCAGACTTCGTTATATTATTATCCGTTCAGGCTAATCGATCGAACGTAGAAAATTTCATTTGTTAGACTCTGCTGGCATCCGAGTGAAACGCGATCCGAGAACTTAATGAATCAACGGACACTTGGCTCATCGATTCGATCGTAATTCCCCGGGAGGGAGAAAATTCATTCACGCTGGTCATAATGGATCAGGTTAAAAAATTTCAATTATAATTTCAACGCGTTGTCGATCGGTCGTGCCACCAGTTCAATGGTGGAACAACCATTGTTCGTTGCGACGCCACCCTTCTCCTTTTCACCCTCATCGTCGTTATTTTATGGACTCTCTTCTCAGTTTTGTCCAATTAAAAATGAATACATTCGATATAAAAAAAAGTCTTTCGCATTTGTCACCTGTTCATTATCGACCGACGAAATATTGTAAACTGTAAAACGTGGTAAGACAACTTGATTTTCTATTTACCGTAACCCAATGAAATATCGCGATAAACGAACTCATTTCAAATTCCATGTGAATTTGATTGTTAAGGCCAATCGACGCGGAAAAAAACCTACGATTCGCCTATGACGAGAAACATTAATTATTCGAACATTTCATCTGTATTGTAGCTTTGTTCGACGAGCACGAGCGCGTGCTGTCCACGGGCGTACGAATGACGAAAGGCAATCGCGTGAGGCGAATGCAAAATTTTCTGCTCGCTTGTGGTGCGGTTCAGGAACATCGTTCTCTTTCCTTCGCTGTGCGAAATGCGCGACACGGGCTTGGTTTTCGCGATGGTTTGCTATTCTTCGTTTCGCTTTCAGCTGAGAAGGTCTACATGTTGTCGTAGAAATTTTCTTTCTTCTCTGGTGGAAGAGAAAATAAAGCAAAGAATACGCTAATTTTGAATAGTTTAGCTTATTATTCGCATATTGAGAAATTTTCTATTAATCTTCTTTTAGACTGTATCAGACGCTAAATATTTTTTCCAAGCTTTTTCCAATATCGTACAGTATCACACAGCACGTATGGTTTGTTTATAAAATTGGTTGATATTTAACATCGTGTTTCCCGTTATAATTCACCGACGATAAAGTCTGTCTGTTCTCGATGAAACGAGTGAATAGTGGAACTAGTTAACCTAAATATTTCACGAATTAATTTAGCAATAAGATGTTACAGCATCGAGTATTGTTCAGCTCTATACTTCTATGGATGTCGTTTACGAACATATCGATAATCTCGACTATTCTAAAACATAGTGTTTCTCCGATGAAACAAATTTCATTAAAATTTCCGGACGAACAAAATGACAAACATCTTCTTAGCAAATTTACTTCGAAATGAACTAAAATATATTTCCCGTGGCAAATTTTACTAGCTCTTCCTTCGAAGTAACGTTTTTAACTCGAGTTATTTAAGAAAGTACCGATAAAACTGGTTCAAATTATCCATAGACGTTTATTTTACCAAATATCAATAGAAATAAACTGTAGCAAGTCAAGTTAATTACCAGCTTAATATACGAAACTCAGAGCGTTTTACAAACTTGCTTATAAAGTTATTTATTAAATCATTCGTGTCACGAAGGGTAATATTAAAATAATTATTACGACGTGTAAAACCACTGCAGCCCAGCACAGAACATTATCCGACAATGTAATTAGAGTCTTATCCGATTACTATTTACTAATCACTGACATATTTTTCGACTACTTTAAATCGATCGATTATACGCCGTAAATTTTCAACTATCCAACTCGAAATAAGTAACTGGCTAACTCGCCGCACGCTCTACTTATATTATACAAACAACAACTCCAACAATGGCAACTTCCACTTAAAATTTCCACTTAAAATGACCGATCTACTTCACCAACGATCACCTAGCAATCCCATGTTTATCAAGCCTTGTATTCTCCTTTATGAATTCTATTAACCAGCTAAGCCGGTAACCACAGTCGCTCGAAAGCAGTCGGTGTATTTTCCTCTGCCAACTCAGCCAGCCAGACTTCGTACTGCAGGTATTCGTGCGAACAGCTAGTTTAAAAAAGGCTCGATCCGCTTTCTTTCATTTCCCTGCGCCGCTTTTCATGAGAATACTTTTCTCGGTTGGTTCGTGCACCAGGCATCGCCAACCACTTTAGCAGCAACCGTGTAATTGCGACCGGTTCAAGAAACACTATCCAGAAGGTAAACGAGCAAACGGATGCTACCAGCTAGAAGAAACGAGCGGCGATCTGACATAAAAACGGCGTGTGTGTCACGTTGCGCGGCACCGTTCGCTAATTCCGAGCGAACCGACAAACTTGCTACGCCTTTTCGATCTTCTGCCTTAAGAACCGAATTAGCTTGCGCGCCAGAAACGTTTATCTTTGATTTTCTATTCTCTTATTTTGCATTGATCGTTTGAACGATTAGCGCTGCAGTGTCGGTTCGTCTAATTGTTCTACGCGAATGTCTTTGCGATTTGTTTCGGGTGCCTGCGTTATGATATGCACTTTTTTTTTTTTTATTTGTTAAAATTCCAATCAATTCTCGCGTTGAGAATTTTTAGTAATTTTTCTGGCGTGGCGCAGTGACATGGCTGATTATTTATAATAAGTTAATACTTGTTATAGATAAGTATAATTTATAAGTAAGTACTTTGGCATTTGCCGGCAACGTATTTTACGTAAAAATCGTTTACGTCGAAAATGACATCGTTTCGTATCTTCGTGTTTGTGGATTTTTCTCGCTACTCGGTGAATTCGTCGTGTCGAACGTTTTAACGCAATGGAAGAATCGCTTTGTTATTCGACGAAATTTTCCCATAACAGGGTCATCGAAGCGTTGGCAAACATCAATTTACGGACTTTATTAAGGCAGACATTTCGTTAGAGCTATAATGCTGGCAGTAAGAAAATTCCTGCAACTTCTTCTTCCATCGTTTTCCCTCGCTTTCAATTGTCTTCTCGAATCCACTACTTACTACTTCACTTATTCCACCAACAAATGCACCGAACTAAACGGAGCTTTTCAACATAACTTGGAACTAATCAAAGCTGCGAGTACTAGCTTCGAGAGTCCTTTAAATTGCATTTCATAATAAAGCCGAGGATATTTAAACCTCCCTTTATTCTTTCTAGAAAGAATCCTTTATTTATTACACGATTGTCCTACTAATTAATCTGCTTCCTGCTTCGTCTTTCCTTTTCAACGATTCTTCTATTGAAAATTTTACAAACGCCGTTGGCTACGACGACAGTTCAAACGGGCGATCGACAGAAGAATTTTATAAAACAACAGCAACGGCAAAGCTGCGTTTCTTTCTCGGCGACGAACATCGACGACGAGTTTACGAGTGACCCGAGGAAAAAATATCATCGGAAGACGTTGCTATCGCGGTGTAATTTTCAGAAGGAACAATTGTTTCCAGGGCCGGCGCAAGGCAGGTTCAGCGCGGAACCCGGCCCCGCGTTTTGAGAGGCCCCGCGGTCTACGAGAATTGCCCAATTAGAAAACACCGATTTTGATTAACTTTTTACAGAATGATGATACCATTTTTTTAGTAGCGATGATTCAGTTTAAAGGAGTGAGAAAAATCATCAATATTCAGTGTAACTGCATAAAGTCCTCATATCCTGGAAACTACTTTAGATAAAAAAAATCCAGCTGCTTTCAGAGAAATGTACTTTTTAGAGAAATTAAACTACATCAATAGCTTTTTGCAAAAGTCATACATGATTACAGATTTTGTACTTTCATTGAATTTCTTGCCCCTTAAGAGCGAATTATGGATGCGAAAAAATATTACTTGGATTTGTTTAAAAAACTGCTTATAAAAAATATATAATATGCAACAGCATTCGTAAATAAATAAAATTCCTCTTTGTAAAATTTAATAAAATTAAAATTAAATATATAGAATTAAAAATTCCTCGTTGTAAAATTTAAGTGTAGGATTTGAACGTGTATTCAGGCCCCGGAAAATTTTTGAAGCCGGCCTCGCAAAAGGTTACGCCGGCCCTGATTGTTTCTGAGAAAACACGAGAACGCTAATTAAAGTATGCGCACTGGTTGGTTTTTCTTAAATTAAACTGCTTACAAGCCGAAATAAGATGAAGACGTAACGTCGCGTCGAAGAAAAGTTCGCAACGAGAGTAGTGTGATTACAGTTCCTAAGTTAGGAAATAAGATTGCAACCCTTTTGTCACCGTTTGCAGGCGATAAAAGCGTGAACATCTCGCGGTAACACGTCATGGGGTAGTTTGTTTCATGGCTCGTTTCGACGTTAAACGATGGCTACGATACCGTAACCCGATGTCGTGTGTATAATTAGACGTTTAAAGAGCTACAACACACTGATGCGAGTCATTAGCTCTTTGCGTTCTACAACGAGTCTACAAGACAAATAAAATAGAAGAAGAGGCGACGAATCGAATCTAAATTTATTTTTCTCTTTATATTCGATAAATAAGAATCTCGTCGGATATTAACGAAGAATAGAAACGAAGATACGAGAAATGAAACGTTTGGAATAAAATCCCAAGGTTAGATATATATGAGCTTCTACTGGCTCATTGGCAGACGATCCAACTTAAACATGCAGAGCAAAATAATGCTACATAAAGCCATATTAAAACCTGTTTGGACCTATGAGATTCAACTATGGGGAACAACGAGTAATTCCAACATAGAAATTCTCCAACGATTCCAATCAAAAACTCTAAGATTCTTAATAGATGCAGCTTCGTATGTTACCAACGAAACAATACATCGCGACCTTTAAGATACCCACAGTTAAAGAAGAAATATCCAAATTCGGTAACAGATATAATATAAGTGTTAACAGCCACCAAAATCCATTAGTTACCCAATTACTTGACACGACGGATCAGATTGGCAGACTAAAAAGACCCTTTAAATTTAAGCATTAGATTCAACTAAAATCAAACATACTATAGACTTTAATAATCCAAGTTACAGTGCCACGCCAAAATAATTTACTTATAATTCTCAATGAGAATTGATTGCAAAATGTCTACCAAATAAGAGAAAAAGAAAGATATATGAGCGAGTTAAAGATAAAAAAAATGAAGGAAAAGAAAATCAGGCGGATGATCGCAAATCAGAATGATGGCATTGGAACAATGGCTGCGTATAAATCCCGTTTACGTACGATCCGTTTCTTATCGCGGTCTTAAAAAGTTCCTCTCGCGACCGGCTAATTATCATTAATTAGAAAAGTTTTGCTCGTGCGCGCTGGCAAAAATAAGAATAAGAAGAAAGGGCGGGCCGTTCGCTTTTCGCGTGGCCTTAAAACTTTCGCGGCGAGAGGGCTCGTGATAAATTTCATTGTGAAACAATAATTGCAAACGCCAGCGGAGATAGCCGCTGGAGGTTCGCCACGGCCGCGAACGATGCAATTTGTATTGCTCGAGCAACGCCGCCCCATAGCGGGAGGAGGGAAAAAGAGAAAAACAGGGAGAAACAAGGCGAAAAGAAAAAGAGCACAAGCCAATGCGCATTTACATCGCGGTTTCTTTTCGGTACCGTTTCGCGAACGATAAACACGGCCGTGATTAACGATGCTAAATATGCTTCTGCATTCCGTGTTCACCGTGGATTTAATTCTGGCGTTTTAGACGCCGTAGGAAAACGCCAGCCAACGGAAGCCACGTTTTTCTCATTTTCTTTCTGCGCTCGTGCGTACCGTGTTTTCCACTTTCCTGATTTCTCAGTTATCGGTGAGTTTCGATCTCGAAATCGGTGGACAATCGGTCGTGGAATTTTGTAAACATGGTGTTTGCGTCGAGGATATATCATCGGACCGACGATAAAAACGAACAAAGTACTAATTAACGATACGACGTACGTATGTCGCGTTGAATTTAATTAATTTGAAATTCAGTGCTGTCGATAGCCGACATTCTATCGAATGTTCAAACGAAGATGTTAGGCAGGAAAAATGTTTGTACACACGAAATTCATGGAAAAAATGGACTGCTTTGTATGCAATACCTGCAATGCAATCTACGCTATCTGTAATCGCATAGAGATTGAATGATTTGCAAACTGAAAGCTCGAATATTTTTCGAATGACCAATTTTTGAACGTACGTTTAGGTCATCCGTTTACGAAAAACATTGAACATATACGAACAGATACGAGAGTTATCAGTTTACAGAGCAATGGTCCCGAAAGCGAGATAACGGGAAATTTAAAAAATTACCGTAACATCACGAACAAGGATGTGTGGAAAGTAATTACATCGTCAAATTTATTCCCTTAAAATCCTAATATCTGTTTACCTAAAACGTTAGGTATATGTACAAAATTGTGAAAAGGCGTAGTTAAATCTGTATAACTCTTGCTATCTTTAAACCTTTAACGCGATATCACAAATAGATCAAATTGTCGGGAAGAAACGTAATTTATAGGAACTGTAACAACAAAGTATACGTCATTTCAGGTTTTATCAGAAGAAGAATTATATTAACGAGAAATAACAAATTACAATTGTAACATTTACCATCGTGTTCTAGAGATTCGATTCAATTAATATTCGTTTGGTTATTCGGAACAGTGTCAATCCGGGTTTATCGTGGCTTCCCATTGGATTCGACCAATAATTTCGTAATTTGGTAAAATTTACCAACAATGTTCCACTTAAAATCGCATGTAACATAAACCGTATTTACGTTGATAGCCGATTAATTTGTAGTCATCGATAGGCAGCGATCCTGTTACAAATTTTGTGATAAACCAATATCGATAGTACCGGTAGATAATCGCGAATCTGTGTACTTTCGCAATAGCGTTCCATTTGCGTTTCAAGTGAGAAAAATAAATGGGAAAAATAAGCGAGAAAACATAAAAATAGAAATAAAAATACCTGAATGCGCCACTGTGGTTTTCGTTGCGAATGAAACTGACACGACGCTGCACGCACCAGATGACTGCTGTCGACAATTTCGCCTCGAAAAGCAGACTATCAAAATATAGGAATATTCGCGTTTCTATCAAGAAAAATATTCCTCTGCTATATAAAGATGAAAAGCACAGAATAAAAGGAGAGAAAATAGCAAAGATGCAGTTGGATCGCACTATTGAGCTTTATACGCAGCAATTATTTTTGTTTCTCTCAGTAGGTTGAACCGAAATCTTTCAGTTTTTTCATAAAATAATCTCTAACGATAACTTACTTTACATCTTGCAAGCTTGCACTCTACGTCCTTTTAAATAGACTTTCAACTTCGAACACGATGATTTTTTTATCTTATGTAAATTCAATTATCTTATTTAAACAATTTCTATGAAATTTTGTTCAAATGTGTGAATTTTGAACAGAGCAAGTTTCATATTGTTAAACATGAATGGTAAAAGGTAATAGGTCATAATACATTGAAAGATCAATTTTTCCTTTTTTTCACTGGCATATTATCTGTCGAAATAAAAAAAGTAATTACTCTCGTGACGATATAAAGATATAAATGGAAGCCATCGCAATAACGGTTAATAGATAAATATATGATCAATATATTACCAATATTTGATGTCGTGTTTGTAACGTTGTGTTTAATAAACGCTTAATTCAAAGGTTAACGAGTGCAATTAGTTGCCATACATGTATTCGTTTCGAACTGACGATAAATATGAATATAAATTATCGACGTGTAAACATAATACAAAATGGAGGCAATTATTTATGACAAAATTACTTAAAACTAATCGAGTGTGATTCTCGAAAAAGTTATATCGAACTTCTGAAAATTCTAACTGACTTCAATATCAATTTTTTGCCAATTCTGTATAGAACCTGCGAATTATTGCAATTACACGACAGCTATTACATTATAACTTTTTTCATTTTTCCGCTCCGACGTAATCCAACACCGCTGTATCTCTCTTCGCTAAGAGATTCGATTTTAATTCACGTGCCGTTAGAATTTATTCACTTTCACCATGAACATTGACAACGATCTTATTGAACGTTGGTAATCTAAACAAAAATTTATTTTTTCTTTTCTAAAAAAAAGTACAGCTACTTGAAAATAGGAAAAAAATAACTGCCTAGCGTGGAAGATGATCTCCAAACTTTAAAAACAATTTCATCTATAACTTAATAACCACGTAGAGAAGATCACGCGAGACAAGCAACAACGACAAGAAAAGCTGCGACTGCTGCAGGCTACTTTGATCTCGCCAAAAGTCCGACCATCACCAGAGACGGACGTATACTTTGCCAAAAACAGCCTCGCTCTGTCTGTGCGTAATTTTAAATTCTGTCGCTGGAGTTTAAAAGGAGCGGTATAGTTAAATAAATAAAATGAAAACAGATAAAGGAAACAAGCAACGAGACGAAGACACTCGTCTTTATCCATTGACTGTTTTGCTCATAACCGTCAGTAAACTTCGAAATATTCTCCGTGAAAACGTTCGTAGTATTAAACTTTTGCCACGTTCGTTCGTCGAAGAAAGGAAGAGAGCGAGCGAGAGAGAGAAAGAGAGAGAGAGGAAAAACGTTTGGAAACGAGTTTCACCGGGGGAGCTGTAACAAATTACCCGCGTCACGACCGCTGTCTTCTCTAATTTGCCCGAAATCAGTAAACGGCCAGTGCAAATTATAGGGGTGTCCCGTGAGCGCGCGCACGCGTGAACACCAACGCGAACAATAATTCGTCGTTGTCTTTGTAAACAATGTTGCAATTATTCCAGCTACAGCCTGAAAATTTGAATGGCTGGTATTCAAGCCTCGGCCTCATAAATCTCCCGATAAAACGATAATTATTTCAAAAGAGATAGGGTGGCAGGCAGTGGGGTTGAAAGGGAGGGTGTGCT